TTTCTTCTAATCTGCAGCACTCATTGAAGTTAGTGCATTCGAGTGGAGATTGACCTGCGAATACACACTTATGGGTGCATCAATATTTACATATGTATATCGCGGCAATTTAATAAAGTGTCCATAAATTGTCGACTCTAATTGAAAAATTGCGTATAAAGTAGTAGAGCTTATACAAAATTGATCTTGCTTGAAAACTACTGTAAACGATACGCCACTTTTCTTCGCCATATTAAACGATAATGATTGCAAGATTAAACATAAAATATAAATACATTTGCAAATGCAATACATACTAAAAATGAAATTAGAAAATAAAAATTCAAAACTATGTTTTAAATAACCGTAAAGATTAAATGTCTGTATTTCTGATAAGAAATATCCTACTTTCTCTAAAATATAGGATGTTCAAATATTTTTTTGCGCTATGTTAAAAGATTGCAAAGTATCGAATATATCAGATTAAGGCTTCTTGGAAAAGATATTATTTGAACGTGATAGGTGGTATCATTATGCAAACTGTAGGGCCTTGTCTGGGATGCGATAAGATGACCTGAAGCGTGCATTCTCTGTAGAGATCATTTTACAAAACGAAATAGTTAATTTGCGCGCGACTGTTATATTATAAGCTCTATATTGCAAATTAATTTCATTATTAATTCAATTATATTATTAATTTATTAATTTTTTATTCATTATTAAACATGCTAACAAAAGAATCAGAATAAAAAAAAATTAAAATATAATAAATTAAATAAAAGAATGTAGTTCTTTGTGTTAAAAATTATAAAAGCGGATAAAATTAGAAATAAATACATAAAAATTTTATTTAAATTGCTTTTGGGAGAGAATATTCGTTCCTAAAAACATCATCAAAACGTATTCCGACGTAAAGTTCCGTAAATTTACTCCACAGTTCTTTATCACTGAGGATCTAAGTGGCTGTGCGTAAAACGTTTGTATAATTGAACGAAGCAAAGTGTGAAATTGTTGGTGATAATTTAAACGGATGAGAAGTCGTAACGCGTTCAGCAGTAAAACACTGAAATTCCACGCCTCAAAAAGAAACACATGTTATCTTAGTCAAATTAATCTCGCAGTTACGAAACCTATTTAAAAACATCGATGGTATCTCGGCGCATGTTAATGTTTCTTTTTCAAGAAATTGAAACTAATAAGTAATTTACACATTAAAATTTTAAAACTTTATAGGAGTATAATTTATTCATTTTTTCTCCTTAAGATCTTTTAAATTTAAATTTCTTAAAAATATTTAAAAAATTAGTTTTTTTTTCTGCCAGAATAGTAAAGTTATGAATATTCTTCTTTCGTATAGTATTCTTATTAGCGTGATTCAGCTTAATACTGTTTATGTCACATTTTAACACTTGTACCATATTTGACTATAATCTGAACTCTTTATCTTTATCTCATAATATAATTTCGTTTCAAGTGTTAATTACTTTGTTTAAACTATCATTTATCGAAATAAATTTTAATAATATTCTCAATCAATATTTAAAAAGATTATTCTTAGCACAAATAGTACAATAAATATAGTTTGCTGCAAAAATAGTGTTTACATTTGGCGCGCGTACTAATAAAGCAATAAGATTATCCACGTAATTATTTCGCATGGGAAGACGGACATACAGCAGATGAATTTTTATTAAGAATTATTTAATTTATGATTACCTAATATATTTTTATTTAAACTTTCATTTTCGTAAAGCCTTCGATATTATTTCTCTTTTTGTTGTAATGTATATGCAAAATAAGAAGAAAAATAAACGTGGAAGAACAAGAGATAGATTTTCCGTAGAAGGAAGGTAGTTAAGCACGGGAAGAGCAATAAGAAACATAGCAGACCCGCATGTGACATTTGAGACACTTTTTCCCTTTCTCCAGCTATCTCTTGTCGTCTTCTCGATGCCTCGATGCCCTCTCGAAAGGCTTCAGTTGGCAAGAAGGAGGAAGAGAAAGAGATTGAAACGTCTCCTCCTGGCCAGCTGGTACCACTTCCCTCCGTCTTTAATCTCTCCCCGCCTGTCTCGACACGAGGACGAGCTCGATGAGAGACACCGCTACCCTCCTTCCCTACCGTCCTCTTTCTTCTCATCGTTTTCGTACCATACAGAATATCGTAGCGTATTGTAGACTTTTTGAAAGAGCACAAAGGAATGCTCTCTCTCTCTGTGAGCCATTTTGAAATGGCCTAAGAGAACCGCACGAAAAACGCGTGTTTATTCATAGAAAAGATCAGCAATATCAACTGCTTCAAATGAACATTTCTGTAACAACCGTCGGTATTTATCGTACGAAAATATTATGTAAGTTGTACCACGAATGCGAATAATAAGCGTGAGAGTAACAGAAAGATATTATTTAAACAAGTCATTGAAACAGTTTAACGTACGTACAAAGGACTTATTCTGCCGAGTATTCAGTAAGCTAATTTCCCATAACAATCCATCGCCGGTACTTAAAACGGCTGTTTAGGTAGACGGTGTAGCAAGTAAACTAAAGGAAACGTGCAACGGTGCATGAATATAGAAATACAAGATCAAAGACCAGAGGCTTTCTGTTTAACGAGCGCGGAAGAACATATCATAATAAACCAAATAAAACACGTAATGCAGATGTATTATTATAAGCGCAGTACTTTTTTAATATCAACAAAAAATAATGATATCGGCAAAATTTTCCATATATGTCTAATAATATCAGATGCGTAACACGTGTAATGCAAAGCTTTGTGCAAAAACAAACATTGTTTATACATTTTAAGAATTCTTTGAAAAAAGAGATCACACATTCGACATGAGGAAGAAAATTAAAACAACAATCTTAAAAAAAAAACGGATTACGTTGCCGAATTTTTCTTCCGGTTTAAAACTGTACGCACGTAAATAAATCTTAAAAAGATGTCTTTTCCAAAATAAAAGGAAAGGCCGACCACGTTAATTGGTTTGCGACGGAATCTGTGACGGCAACAAGCCATTAGACATGTTTTTCTAGGCGCTACCACTTCACGTAGAGATAATATTTTGACGATGCGTGGTCGTATGTGTATGTGTGTACGTGTGAGTGTGTAGAACCGCGTACATTAGTTGGCATTTAGGCCACCTTATGCAAACACGAATTTTCGATGGTCAAGTCGCAGCAATAACACTTTCATACGCAAACAACACGGAAGTCCCGGGCGAGTTACCGAAGTTTGCCCTGCATAGTCGCGTTTAAACTATATTTCTTCCTTTTTTTGTGCATTGGCTGTCGCTTTCCACACTTGAAAAACGCACCTATGCAAATCCATTAACGTCTCTTCATACTCCGAGATTGTTCAGAGCGCGCGCGATACGCGCGTCCATTACACACGTTCAGCTGAAGAGAAAAGAAAATAAAAGCATGCTCGAGGAACTTCAGGTTCAACGGTACGCTTGAGTTAAAATAGAAAATAGATTATATTACTGACTAAATACATTAAACTTCCAATAACTAAATATATTAAAATTCTTCTTAAATTCTCCGAAAAAATAGTTTAAATATTAAAAATATTTAAAAATAAGAAGAACACAAAAAATCAAAATTAAATCAAAATAATATTAAAAATTAGAAAAGATATAGAATATTTTATGATTTAAAACGCGGGTTAGATATTATACCTTATGAAGTAATTTAATTTTCAAGCCAACAGAGACAAAAAAAATATTCGTTCGAAATAAAGAATAGGATTGATTTTTTCTTGAGTTAAATGTCAAACTATGAAAAGCGACAATATTATCTATCAATCTCATATATGAGAAAGAAGTATTTAATACTTTCTCCCATCGAGAACGTATCTATCTATATATACCTATCTATTCACTCAGACATAATCTATCGCACAAATCTCCGACTCAAAATCGTCGTCAATATTTCACTTCATCTGTAAAGGAATGTAACGTGCCATTGAATGCCTTGATCGCCGTGAACGGGTTATAGTATACCTTAGTAAATATAGAATAAGATACATCTTATATCGGACGAATATCAAGTATTATCGATATATTATCGATCAAATAGCGAGAATTGATAATAGAGACTCTCTCTCTTTCTATTCGAAGAAAAGAGATGCACGTTTAGAACCGGCTAACCTCGATATCAAATATACAGCCTGTCTTTACCAGCAATATTTATTTATCCGGATCGCGATTCACCGGGAACCCTTCCCGGTTTATCGGATCATTCGACGTGTCCGAGATCGGATAATTGTTCCGAGAATAGATTGCGATAGCACTGTTCCTTCCCATGAGAGACAATTGCGTAGATAATCTTATTAGTGCGCTAAATGTACGGCTTGATGTACGGTATGAGATAAAGTGCGGAAAAAGTTTGTGAAGTTAGCATGATATTCTATTAATATAGAAGAATAATGGCAGTTGCAGTAGCACTTCTCATTTTACAGTTCTTTAAATAAAAGAAAGTTTCGCTTATACTAAAAATAATAAAAAATTAAAATACCACGTGCTTACTTTGCGAATGTAGCACGACACTTTCCCCTCTAAAGTACAAAAAATAAATATTATTACTCAAATTCTAATATATGTAAGTAACTTGAATATCGTATATATTTAAAAAATGATCAAAGATTTAATGAGCTTAATATAAGGTTTGCTATATGTAAACTTGAAATGTTAAGTTTTAATATTGATTGTACAAATATAATTAATATTGATTATTAAACGTAATTTTTTAATCTATCTTTACTTTACAGAAAAGTAACGAAAGAAACAACGAACCGTTAGTTTCTAAGTAATGATAATATAGTAGGTAATGCGTTAAAATTAATGCTTTTAAAATTAATAACGAATAACGATAACGAATTGTTTCTTACAAAAAGTAACGATAATGATAACGCGTTTATGAAGTGACACGTTCACGTATATTTTTATAATTTTATTAGTACGTTAGATATTTGTTGACATATTTGCTGAATTTCTGAAGATTAAAATAGTACTTACTTTCGACCGCTGTCGAGAAATCTGTCGAATTCCACCGACATCTTGCAACAAAGGGCCCGCCGATTGTGTGAGGACGAACACTTAGTGTTGATCATGTGGCCGTCTGAAAGCAAAGGAAGGGACTTGAATGTAGGGTGGGCGTGCAATTAATTAAGAGGTTAATAATCATCATTCTCGTGAGCCGCTGCTACGGCGGTCTAATTAATTCGGGCTGATGGTTCTCGCTTCTTCAGGAGCGAGAACCATCCTTTCGAGGAGAGAATGTATCACGATCGATGATATGCACGTGTATACGGGGTATCCCTTGTACCAAACTACCAAATCAGAAATAATTAATAATCGTGCTCGAAGAATTATTGTAAATTAAACTATACGTGTAAAAGGGAAAAGAAATTCAAAATAAAAATTCATTACCATAAGACAGAATAATAAGTATAATAAATAATCATAACAATTATTATAAAACATAATTAATTTCATCATATTAAAAATACAAATACAGTATATCGATAAAGTGAATACACTTTGTTCTCAGTAAAAACAATTTGAATAAAAAACAATCGAATGCTGTGTAATTAAGAATCCACCGAATCAATTTCTATATAACCAGTATTTGTTATGGTATCATTACGTGAGATCTCCCGCGTAAGATTGTCGACATCCACACCTGGATAAATCGCGAAGGATGGATCGAGTTCGAGTCAGGTAGAAATGGTAATGAGAAATGGTCGATGCGGAGGTGCAAACCGGTGCAGAGCGCGTGGTGAGGTCAAATGTCGGACGGTGCCCGAGGGTTCGCGTGCTCATCCCTCCTCCTGCGACCTTCCGCACCCGATATTATCCTCCTCGGGACCCGCGTCCACCCACGCTCCTGCCTCCGCTCGTGACTAATGCGTGGCTCGGGTTATGAGCGAAGCATGAAATAATATCGAGTTTATTATAGGAATGCCTGCGTGCGTTACAGTAATCCGAGCGATTTCATCTTTTTAATGCAAGAACAGCCTACGACTGTCGTATACGTGCATTCGACTTTCATCATTTAAATGAATCCTTCAATATCATTTCATCTCGCGTGCGAAAGTATCGTAATTGCGATGCTTTCCCTTTACAATTTCTTTCTTTCGTTTCCTTTCTTGTACTCGGACGCGAGAACAGTGTTATTGTCCAGATGACCGAAATAACGAGAACGTGCTTTTCACCTCGTCCACTGAGTATCATTCACGTTCGCGGTGCATCTTTCCGTCCTCCCTCAGCCATTTCTCATCATCCGCTTTCTCCGCCTGCTCGTCATCTACATCCGCGCCCGAGGGTGCAATTGGGATGCACTCCATAGTAGGTTGGCAATGATATCACCGGTTAGAACTTGCCGTTGTTATTATTCCAAGTATTATAAGCTAACTTTATACATTGCGATTAAAGCAATAAACGATAAATGCGATTTTTTGTTACGTTTATAGAAAGAAAATTTGCTCCAGTAATAATAAAATCTTGATATGAATTTATTTTAGAAATGGCTACAAAATTAAATTTCAATAATTCTTATTAAATTTTATATATTATATAGTGAAATCAAATATGAAAGGAAATAACTGTTATAAAATTATACGTTTAAGTAAATTTTAGTAAAAGTAAAAATATCCCTACTAAAATCAATTAAAAACGCGGTTCTATTTCTTAATGCGATAATAAGTTCTAAAAAAAGAATATTAACAAAGATTAAAAATAAAGACTACAATTAATTCAAGCGAATAATTTTTTGCAGTTAATTTTAATCTATATTTTAATAAACAAGTTAATCTATTTATTAATTTAATTATAAATATCATATATATATTTGTTCCAAGAACCCGATGACGAAGCTCTACGGTTTCACGTATTATAAAGAAGTTATCGACGTAATTGATTAATCTATCGATCATTGCATCTCGTGCAGCGTACTTGCGTGCGGAGTTCGCAAACCGGTCGGTCTAACATGTACCTATGTAGAATATCATAGAATCTATCGAACAGCTCGCACACGTGCCCTCGGCCTCTTTCGACACATCGATTTCTCTTTATTGGACACCCGGTGTCTCGATCAGCAAGTAATTATCCAATACTGACGTGTTAACATATTCGCATCGCAATGTTAATAAAACGATAAAGTAATTCCAAATAAAAGAATATCTTTAAGTGAAAAAAGTCGATTCGCATATATAAATAAAATAATTTTATCTTTCTCGTTTGAAAATATAATAAACTTATTGTATTACATACAATTCAGATGCAATCATTGCAAAAATAAAAATATATAAAAAATATTAAAATTAATATATTACATTAATTTGATTAAAATATTTTCATAAATTTAAAGAAATAAAAAAATATGCGTTAGCAGATTTAGCAAATTTGTTAGTTTACAAATTTACAAAATTAATTTAGCTTTTATCTAGTTTGCTTAAAAAATTTATTTCGTTCAAAAAGACGATAGATTACGTCTCTCGTAATATTAAATAATAAAATAGTAATACAAATAGAAATCGTATCACGCTTATTTCAGCGCTCCCAATTTAGAGATGCCCCAAGCAATTATCCAAATAAACCGCACCTTAATTCGACTTTCTGAACGGATGACCGAGACACGGATATGACTAAACTTTCGAAATGATTGACGAGCAACTCGGCTCCTACGAGTGAACGAAACAAGCTCCTGCACACGCGCTCATTTCGCCAGCAATTATCGCATAAATGAGGGCGACCATTAAACTCGCCATCGTAATTATCCGTGCCTTGTCTTACACACAGAATACACGTACTTCGCTTGAATTTTTTAATAAAGTCATTTATTGACGAAAATGTTACGCTCTCATACATCGACAAGATGTTCTCACAATCTCAAGATAATCAACGTAACAACATTCGTCGCTATTGATGCTCATGTAAATTTTCCTTTATAAAACTGCAGTCAGTGAAGCGGTAATGTATGATGTTTGGAAATACGATACTGTTACATATTAATATTGCTGCAATTGCATTGCAAACTAAGTGCGGAAACAAATCGAAATAAATCGAAATAAATTCTCTATGCGTGGAAAAAATAACAGCGATATATCGTCTCTAAAAAGCAATGAGAATAAATAAGAGAAAAGAGGAGAAAAGTTATATTGAATTTAATATAAACTCGATTAGTTGCTCAATAATGTTGTAATTGGAAAATATGTGTAATAGTCATTATTCGATATTACGAGTACTATCGGTATCAAATCAAACGCGTATTTTTACTTTAACATAAGAGTTCTCTTAATTTTATCTCGTGTTCTGCAAACGTTATAGACGACTCTATATGTGAAATACAATATAATTATTTAATTATACGATAATAATTATATATGTTATATAATTAAATAAAATAATTATATTATTTTATTTATTTATATAACATGTAATTAATTCTAAATTAATTTCTGTGTGTATCATCTTATGCATTTTATTATTATACTGTAAACTTTAGCAGAAATAAAAATCAAATTATAATATAACAAACTAAAAACGATGTCATTATGTAACAATGTCATCAAGGCAAATCTTTCATTTTTTTTTAATTAACAATTTATTTATTTATTGTGTTTCATGTTTTGTTTGATTTATTATTTAAATATTAAACATTATATAAAGTAAATATAAATCCCCATATATATATATATACATATATAAATTAGATATGTTAAGATAATTCTTGTTAAATTTTTGAATAAAATTAGAAGTCGCAGTTCATAAAAAGTTGAAATAGAGCAATGTATACATCTGAATAATAGATACGAATAATTAAATAATTAAAAAAACTTATTCTTAATCATACAAAGTTAGTTTCATAAAAAAAATTATTAACAAATACTCACTAGTTTGGTTTTGAAAATAAGGATCATCTCTGTCGGTGAAGAACCAGGTCTGTAAACAGAAATAAAAAAATCATTATATTTTGATTATTGATATGTACATGCATGTATACGCTTTTTCGATTATACCCGATGCGACGGAATAATCATGCTATGGCACGTACGCATTTGATTGTTTACCGCAGACCGTCCAGCCAAACAATACGCATCACGTATCGATCATAAATTTCAATCCCTTTCTTATCCCTTCGAAACGGATCGCTCCATCCGCGTCAGTGTATGTTATATGCAATAAATCTTACAGCTTTGAATCACTTCGCGTTACTATGATACACTTTTCTCTTATTTATATTCACGGGATAGCGAAATCACAAATTCCGAAAACAAAAATAAGGAGATAGAGACGAATCGAGAAAAATATCATATGTAAATGTTTTGTTGTAAACATACGTGCAGTATTACAAGACTGACATTTCTGTTATTTAGAAATCACAAAAAAGAACAACTATTATTCTAACTCGTGCTGTCACATACAGAATTATTTTTATTATTATTATTATAGAATTATTTCTACAAAATGTTACTTGAAATATATTTAATTATCAACATTTTCCAATAACAGGCTATAAAATAATATAATGCACGTTACAAATTGAAATATTTTCAGAAGATAAATGTATATACATATATATTATGTATACTACCAGAATATATATTCCTTTTAGCTCTAATCGCTGTTCAAAGTAAAAATCCCTGGAGTGTACAGTCACATAAAACTGTGATAAAGTTGCATACTTTCAATTAAGGACTATGCAAGTTTCTCGTGTATTATTTTGTCGCGCTGGAAAATTTATCTCAGATCATCGTGAGCTGAGACTTGAACTTCTCATTTGTATCTGTCGCACACCCTTCCGTGGCAGTTGCATCTGGACTCGGACGTATTGCAGCGTCGCGGTCGTTACGTTACGATCAGCGTACACTGCACGTGTTAAAGTAGTCGCTTATTTTTAGTTCCCAAGAGTAGTTCCCTTCAGGAAGTGAACGAGCAAGAACGATCGAAGGAGATGGTACTCCAGACGTCAGAAGCATTGTCCCGATAGATCATTTTCACGCGCGGCGGTATATCGCGTCGGTAAGCTACCGGGAAAATTTAAAAGGAAACGGAAAAATACATCGCGAAAAAACGCGCCGTGTTATTTACATGTGATATTTGGCCGCGTGATTTTATATATTCGCAACTTCCTCTATTAAAATGGTACGTTAAGCAAATTCCACGCACGAGCGCAACTTGTTAGATTATTTCAATGCAATTACAGCATAATATCTCCATGAATTTTATATCAGCTCGTTTAATGCACATTGCACATGCCAACATATTCGTTCACATTCTATTTTATTAATTAAAATACAATAGAATTAAATCGCTTATTTTGAACAGGCTATATACGACCCATTACATAAATAATGTGTAATTTAATCAATGGCACAGTTTCTGAGAGCATATTTAATCGACTGCACATCGGGATTACGTAAGCTTTAAAACAGAATCGAATAAACTGCAGTTGTGCCTCAATAAAAGTTCACCGAGATATCTCGGATGTACAGCCATAGCGGATATCCGCGGTACAACGTGACGAACGTAAAAATAGCGCGGGTGAAAAGGCAAACTGCAATTGCAACACGTTTATTTGAGGCATGCGGATAGAGAAAGAGAGAGAGAGAGAGAGAGAGAGAGAGAGAGAGAGAGAGAGAGAGAGAGAGAGACGTCAGCATTCCCAGAAAGAACACGAATATCCGGCAACGAATGAACGTCGTGTACAAAAATAAGAGACGGGTGTAACGCGATGACGTCAGTGGCACTGGCGTCACATTACCATCGACATAATTGCATTAATCCCGCACACGTACGTACGTCGTACTTAAAAGAGCCGTCGTTAAGCTGATCTTCGAGCTTTCCCGGGAATTCGTTGAGCCTGCTCGAGTGTTGGTTATTCCGCTCGTAAACCGTATCGCGATATAGAACATTTGCGAATGTGTCAAAAGCGTAGAATCATATTAAAAGGGTCGCTCGTTACGAGCTCTAATTAGGCGAGACGAATTTGCCCTAAAGCGTGGAAGGAAATTTAACGATTGCGTTCTACCTACACGAAACAAACATTTTGCCTTTTTATTTGCCTTCTACCAAGTTCTGGAGCGAAAAGGAGTCATAAATATATATAATAAATTTTTGAGTTCTCTCTTCTCTCTATTTAAAAATCGTTTATTAAAAAGTATAATAAATTTGACAATTAAGATCAATCACAGCTGAAATTATAATAGGTCTTTCGAAATTTTAATCTTTTAAAAATACAATTCATAATTATAATTAATAAAAATGGCAAATTTTAATATTTTTATACCTAATTCTTTTCGACACAAGTTCTTTATATAATCTTCAATCAATGTGAGAATTGGATAAATATATCGTTCGGCGATGGCACGTTGATTATATCACATTGGGGGTCAATTGAAAATCGCAACCCTACCGACACAGTACATAAAAAGCAATGGAAATTAAGAGGAAATAATTCGTCGAAGCACAGTGAGCTCTCATCGCGCTGCGCGAAATTACATCGGACCTTTTAAGACTTGCTTAAATAACCAAAGTAATCGAGCAATTATCCGAAACCAAATCCAATCGGCGCGCGGTATGAGTTGGCCTTCGTCGATTGGGGGATTGCAGTATCGGCCAGCCAAGTCATTCTAAATAACGACACCAGACTTTGACCCGCGATCGACCCTCGAGATCTCGAGAGGTTCTTTTTATGAATCACGAAAATTTGTACCTAACCACGTATGTCCACACCTCCACTTAATAACACGATAATCGAACGGCATGACTATCAAATTTAGAGAAAGGCGCAAGAAAAGATTTCGTCGAATTTTGGGTCCCCACAAGGGTTTGATATAAAGTTTGTTAAAAAAAGTTTTAAAAAAAGAGTATCCTCACTAAGTACAAAACTACCGAAATTTAATTGAAGGAAGTGCTTTTTGTGAACCACTCTTTTGGATTGCAATTAAGTAACAAAAGTTTATTTATTATGCCATAATATACTTTTATTTTTATAGCACCTTAACAGAATTCTAATCTAACATTTCGTTCACTGTTAAATCTATAATTTATATGTAAAGATATATATATACTTTAAGATAAAATTGAATATTTTAAATATCAAGTATTAAACTGTACTTAATTTAAATCACCACTGTTCAATATACCATTATTTTATAGTTTTATACTAAAATGATTAAATTTGACACTATAGATTTAATAGTGTTATTAAAATGTTTAATAATAGATAAAAATCATATATAACAAACCATAATAGATATTTTAAAGATATATTGACTAAGAAAATCGAATAAATTATTAGAATTAAAATTATAATAATGTTGAGATATTGAAACAATATAAAAGATATCCACAGATGTGTATTATGCGTTGACACACTATCTTTATTGTCATTCATATAATCAAAAATTTATAACAAGATATAAATCTCGATTGTTTTTGCGGTACAAATGTCTAAAAAATATTTTAAACGAACTATTTAATCTTACTATATATACCGCGTAAAGTATTGACCACATATGAATAAAAAAGAAGTAGCTGGTAAGGTATATAAATGTGGCCATTAAAGGCCATTAACAGCATCGTAAGGTGATGGCCGAGAGGAAAAGGACGAACATAGGGATTGCGCCAACAATAAATGCGCAATCAATGTTCCTCCTCAGTGGAGCGCATTATTAAAACGCATTACCCGTGATATATGACGTATTAATAATCAAAACATTGCGACCTATTGCTCACCTCTGTCCAATTTAGGTAAGAAACTTAACACCTTAACAGCGAAACTGCTACACACAATATTCTCTAGCCTTGTTTCTCTTTTTTAAAACCCATAAAGACTTATTTTAAGGCTTCAGAAAAGAGTCTTAATATATATGTATATGTGAAGATAATAAGATATTACTATATAAAAGATAAAATTGTTCTAACTGAAATCGTTAGATACAAAATATCATTAAAAATTATTAACTATTATATTGCAAATTATATAAAAAAATGTTATTTAACTCATCTTTCTTTAGCAAGGCGGGTATGTTAAGTTAGCACCCCAACTATAGTACTCAGGAGTTCTGATTAGAGTTCCCACTTCCTTTTGACGAGACGAAGAGTTCCCTATAGTTAATAACAAGAGTTCCGCTCAATAAACATTTTTTTTACATTTTTTAAAAATGGGGTGCTAACTTTTTATCGAATTTCGAGGTGGAATAGTTCTGAGCGGCTTAATAGCTTCAATTTGCGATTGCCTAGAGTTCCTGATACGTAAAAAAAATTTTCGAATATAAAAAAAAAAATTAAAAATTTTTGAAAAATTAATTTTTAGATACAATAGTTCTGATGATAATTCCTGCTTCTTTTTGACGATACGAAGAGTTCTCTATGATTTTTAATGACATATGCGCTTAATAATCACTTTTTAATAATTTTTTAAAAATGGGGTGCTAACTTTTTAACGAAATTCAAGGTCGCATAGTTCTGATCAGCTTAACAGAACTATTTTGTGAATACCTAGAGTTCTTGATACATAAAAAACATTTTTGAAATATAATAAAATTTAAAAAAAATAGTGAAAATCTTTGAAAATTTTTTTGAGAGTACCGAGGAGTTCTGAGTAGCGTTTCTTATAGTTCTCGACGAGTTCTATCGAAAATTATAAGGTGAAAAAGCGATTAGACCAACGGTTTGCAAGATCCAGCGACATTCGTCGGAAGATCAACAATTCTTAAAGTGAGTATATCTCGGAGACCGTTGGTCCAATCGCTTTGACCCCTAATACTTTTCGACAGAACTCGCCGAGAACTGTCCAGAACTCCGATCAGAACTACTCGGTACTCCCAAAAAATTTTGACTAAATTTTTTTCTGGGTCCCATGTCGAAAAATTTTTTGAGAGTACCGAGGAGTTCTGAGTAGCGTTTCGTATAGTTCTCGACGAGTTCTATCGAAAACTGTAAGGTGAAAAAGCGATTAGACCAACGGTTTGCAAGATACAGCGACATTTGTCAGAAGATCAGCAATTTTTAAAGTGAGTATATCTCGGAAACCGTTGGTCCAATCGCTTTGAGCCCTGATACTTTTCGACAGAACTCGTCGAGAACTGTCCAGAACTCCGATTTTTTTTCAAAAATTTTTTTCCAAGTCCCACGTCGGAAAATTTTTTGGTAGTACCGAGTAGTTTTGTTCAGAGTTCTGAACAAAACGCTACTCAGACTACTCGGTACTCTCAAAAAATTTTTCAAAGATTTCAACTATTTTTAAAAAATTTTATTATTCTTCAAAAATGTTTTTTATGTATCAAGAACTCTAGGTATTCACAAAATAGTCCTGTCTGCTGATCAGAACTATGCGACCTTGAATTTCGTTAAAAAGTTAGCACCCCATTTTTAAAAAATTATTAAAAAATGATTATTAAGCGCATATGTCATTAAAAATTATAGAGAACTCTTCGTATCGTCAAAAAGAAGCAGAAATTATCATCAGAACTATTATATCTAAAAATTAATTTTTCAAAAATGTTTAATTTTTTTTTTATTATTCGAAAATTTTTTTTACATATCAGGAACTCTAGGCATTCGCAAATTGAAGCTATTAAGCCGCTCAGAACTACTCCACCTCGAAATTCGATAAAAAGTTAGCACCCCATTTTAAAAAATGTAAAAAAAATGTTTATTGAGCGGAACTCTTGTTATTAACTATAGGGAACTCTTCGTCTCGTCAAAAGGAAGTGGGAACTCTAATCAGAACTCCTGAGTACTATAGTTGGGGTGCTAACTTAACATACCCTAGCAAGGCTTTCATTACAAATAGATAATAGTAACATTGTTAATCGCAATCAATTGCATAATATTTACAAGTTTTACAAAATAATTCTAAAAATTTACATATACGGTTCTATGAAATTTAATATTTAATATTGTTTAATTTTAAAATTGTTTAAATATACTTGTATACATAATTTATATATTTTACTAAAAAGTAAGTATGTTGACATTTTACATTTCACGATTTCAACTGGAGTCTAAAGTACCCCACTTTTTTCTATATTAATTTTCAAGTTTTTGATATAATATATACTAATAAAAATATTTTACGAAAATTAAAGAAATTGTGCGAATATCTTAAGAAATCAATCTACATTTTCAAGACTTATTGCACTGCAAATAATTTTGAACCTTAGGCAGATGGCTAAATTTCTACCAGAGTCTATTATCTTCACTGCGATAAATCACTTGCCGTAAATTGGATCGTGAATTTCTAATCTTGCCAGAAAAGGAAATAAGTCTTCTAGTCGTTGAAAATTGTTGATTTATATGTTATTTTTTTTTATTCGATAAAATTCTTCATTTTTTTTTCAGATATTTTCCCCGTTTAAAACAACGCGCATTTTAACTTTATATAAATTATACCATAAATATATAAATAAATCTCTCTTTTACAAATGTAAAGTCCTTTCATTACGCAATTATGAAGATCGTTTTATACGATGTTATGTACACTAATTGAATGTATTGGAATTCTGCAATAATACGTGAGAATCAATAACATCCTCGATCTCACAAGATTCACACACGCAAATAAAAGAATGATCATTTCAGCCGACTTGCAGGATCGTGGCGCATCGTTTAATTATCGAGAAAGAAACCACGAAAAAGGTGAGTTCGTTGAGAGTGCTCGTGGGTGGACTAAGTCGGCTAACGCGGAGGTCGTCAGGGTCGGAGGTAAATCGTGAGATCTTCCCACGAACCACAAACCGTGTGCAGCCGGACACAGACTTTTATTATTCTCATCGCACTTTTTCTCGCTCGCGTCGCGGAAAATGCATACCGACGCGAGTCACAGGCAAGGCGAGTGTATACGCGTAGTGGAAAAAGCGTGAGATCGACGGGAGAATAATCAGGACACGAAGCAAATTAAGACAACATCGCGGCGTGTCATGGGAATTACAAATGCTTTCATTGCGGACACATAACTCAAATAATCTTTGAATATATTGTTCAGTTATACTTTCACATATACTCAAATTTTATTGTTATTAACATCGATAATGACCTCGTAATTGAAACGTTTGCTGTTTATAGATTTTACGTAATTTGTCTTTTGAGTCGTGGTTCCTTTTTTATACCTACTTTGATTTTTAATCAACTGACCCGTTCTTTATATTTTAATTCAAATGATCTTGTAATTTACTTTAATTTCCCTTTCTTTCGAAAAATCATCAACGTAATAAATTCTTAATTCAATTTATCTTGAAAATATTAATTCTTCTTAATTCAATTTATCTTGAAAATCTGATTATTCTAACATTCGAATTGTTGTCATAAATACTTATAAAATCTAATAAATATCTAATATAAAATTAAATAAATCAAGGTATAGATATATATGAATAAAAAAATTAGAAAAATGAGAAATTAAATCCAGATATCAATAAACAACATGTGAGATAACGTATCCATGACTAAATTCACTAAAGTTCCGTTCCCTGAACAGTGTAGAGGAAATCAACCGAAATTACAGGAAACGCGAGAACTCGTGCAAAATCCAGGTATAGTAATTACCTGGAGAGGAACGGTATATTAACCTGGGAAAGTGCAGAAGGACGCGGAAGCCGCTGAGAGATGCAAGAGTATTTTGTTTCTTTATCCGACGGAAGAATCATACCATACCAGAGTATGAGAATTTCTCTCAAGGTTTCTTCATTAGTATATTAATTACCAAAAAATATTTGTTCATTGTCCAATCAATTCATAAAAATGATAGAAAACATTAGATTTTTTTCTTGATATAAAATATGTACGCAAAAATAAAAATGTATAATTATGTGTGCATCGCAATTATTTAATTTAAATCTAAATACGATGCGTTATTTAACTACTAGTAAAAATAGCATAATTACGCATTAAAAAAAAGATTTCCCAAAAGATTTTAACGTATTGCGATTAAAAAAATTTAATTAATTTAATTCTGCAGCAACAATATCACGTAAATCCTATTCGGGACGTGGAATATCGGCCTTTGTTTTCGCAGGGCACGGATGGTATCGACGATATTTACGAAAAGGCAAATGAGAAATTGTAGGGAAGGAAGAGTGGAACGAATCTCATTCCCACGGCGCGAGAAATCGTGAATTCACGCTGATCATCGGCGACACGGTCTACGGTAAATACGCGCGAATACGCTTCGATTCCCTTGGATAAAGCCCAACGAGTCGTATACAAAGTGTGGTCTATTCCGCTCCACAAGAAGGCATGTAGATGTATCTCGCGATGATGAAGACGTCGCGATAAGACTATGCGTATCATTTGTCACACTTTAATACGATTAATTTTTACTGGAGTTTTTTCGTCTCTTCGCAAATAATGGCGAACGAATCAAATAACAAATAATATTCCTCGAAAATAACTTTTACGAATAATATTTCTCTGATTTCTTCATAAATAATAACGAACGAATCAAATAATAACAAACTCCATAAAAGTTATTTTAAAAAGTTCTTCGATGTATTATTCTTATGATAAAAAATATTTTTTATCATAAAAATATTATATCTATGCAAAATCTAATCCTAATTGAACGTTGAAATCGTTATACTAAATAAAACTGGTATTACTACCTTCACTAATATTAAATTGTAAATGTAAATAGGATAGAGTTTTTTCGTCCATTTCTTGGGATGATGTTTACGTTTCTGAACAGAACATGTTGATTATCTAAAGATTATTGTGCTCTCAAAGAGCAATCATAATTGTATAATGTAATTACAAGCACGTCACTGCAAAGAAATATTGTTTCTTATCGTAAATTTTTTTGTATTATTTTACAATAGCAACTAACGGAATAATACCTTACAAAACCTATTAAATATTTTCGTATACTATATTATGTTATGCATACTATATACATTTATAAAATAAAAATCATATCATCAATAAATCACGTTGTCGATATTTGAAAATGCTCCTGAAATATTCAGAAATACTCCTGTAAATTCATGTCATCAATATTTTCCAGGTTGTCAAAATTAAATAAATAATAAAAACGTTAAACCTTATCTGAATAATTCTAATACACATAATTTTATCCAAAATATCAAAATATATATACTGCTTATAAAACAAGTAGAATTTACGCAAATTAAAAATGAAATTATAATATATTGTTGTTACGAATGAAATAAAATAAAGAATACGTGATCAAAAAATATCCCAATTATTGAATAATATTCTCAGGAAGTTTCAATATTTTCAGGTGATCGTGCCATATTCGTAACGAGGCTGTCGCAAGGTCGGAGCGCAAGAAACGAGGTGACCGAGCGACGCTAATGAATCCGGAATATTGGCATTTCACGGCGATCTTCACGGAGTAAAAGAAGCTCACCTGATTTCTGGCGAACTGGAACCACGTATCGATGATGGCCGGCAGGCGCGAATGATGATAGTGTTTGGTGGTCTTCACGCTGATAAACACGTCGTTGAGGTTCGTCGTGAACGGTGCCATAGTTGCCGTTGCCACCGGCAGCGTCACCGGCAACTCCTCGCTGATTAACTTTCTCGACGCCGGCACCTCCACTATCACATTTCGGCTATTCACTTCCGCCACGTTCATCTCGTCGACCCACTGCGACATACAATCATCAGAATATGTTATTAAGAAAAAAGAGGAAATTTCTCTCGAGGCTTTTGCCAATAAACTTTTCTCGCTAAAAGGTGTTGAGAAAGTAGATATATAATATACAATAATTATAAAAATAATGTTTCGCATTAGCATTTAATTTGTTTGCTAATTTAGTATCAATTTTTCCTACTAGGGTATCAAGAAGAATTGTTATTTTTCTGTGAATATGTCTGCTTCTGACATTAAATATTTCGACTCCTTTTAATTTTAATTGCAAACTATATAAAAGTGAAGTCTATTTAATATCAATTGAAGAATATGACTTTATTACTTGTTTATGCTCCTCAGCTAAGTTTGTAAAAGTGCTCTTTTACATATTAATTATTCAAAAAATATCTGTGTTTGAATAATTGTGTGTATTATACTATGTTATACTACGTGCATTTACGAAACAACAATCACAAATCATATATAAGATATTGCATGGAAATGCATCTATAAACATTCAAACAGTAATCAATTTTCCAGATTATTGAAATTAAGTAAATAAAAAAGTTCAACTTCAAAAAATCTCTCATATTTACTCCAACAATTATCTATATCAATCTGGACTCAATTAAAAGTTACTAAGATTCATATCTTCACTTTGAACGTTTTCCAAGACTCCGACATATCACTGCCATAACACGAACAAAAAAATATTATATTAAATTATAATTTTGCAAATAAGAAATTTACATTCATCAAGACAAAGAAATCTATGTTACAAGTAGTCAGTCAAGGATACAAAAATAAAGAGAATCAAACACACTGATATGTATCTTATGCCCGTTATAATTTAAACATTGAAAATGACCCAATCGGAATCGAAAGATTTGTTTTATGTTTTGTAATATTTATATTCATCATTGTTAAATTAAACGAATTTATTAGACTCGTAGCCCTTCTTCTATATCATTAAAAATGTTCAACTTTATCTAAATATTTCTAATCACATGATCTTATCATATAACTCGAAAGAATAGGCCTGTTCTTTTTAGTTGAATTGCTTACACCGTTTATCTTTTCTCTTTTCCGTGGAAAGAAAAAGAGAAAGGAGTAAATCGTGCAAACAGTTTAGCTGAAAAGAACAGACCTAATGTGATTAATATCGTAAAAACTAGTATAATATATACTGCAGAATTAATCATGGAATGCACTAAATACGAGCTACGTTCTTCCCGCATTCAGAATTCCACAAAAATACGTAAGTAAATATAAGTTTTAACAGAAAAATGTTTCGGGTAAAAGCTGTAGAATTTACTTATCAAACTGATAAGATTAGTAAGATGATCTTTGTAAATTCTACAGCTTGGATAGCGTTACCAGATTAGGACGAAAGGTTGAATTTTTGTGTGCCCCTTAATATCCGTATCCATCCACACTACACATTAAAGACTGAGAAATTACGAAAATTGAGAATTACAATTTAACTAATTATTATAGAACAAAACGGATTAAAATTAAAATTATCTAGTTGGTCAAATTCTAAGTAATGTGAACAGAGCTTTATATAATAATCGGAGTATTACAGGCGCCGTCGGCGACAGAGATAACAATGGATTAGAATTTAGCCAATTAGAGCGAAGCGGATTGAAATTAAAATTATCCAGTCGAATTCTAATCTCTAATTGGCAATCCTCAGTCTCTATAATGCGTAATATGATACGCTGACACGAACATATTACAGTATCGGAGTGCAAGCGTCGCAGAACTGACGTGATCGGCGGACACAGGGATAACGCTGATAATGATCGTTCTAATTACCTGACGCGGTGCGATACACTGGTAGAGGAGAATCGTGGCGTAGGCGGTAGCGATGACGAGCGCTAACGCCTGGAGGCTACGTCTCGTCGGCAGACCTCGTGGCATCATACCCGCGCCGACGGCAAGCGGCGTACAAGCTTGGGGGCTGCTAGCGGGCTTACAGAGCCACGAGCCTTGTTGCTCCACCACCGCGGGATCCGCACATTTGTCCTTAGGGTTCATCGACGACCACGCTGCCGCGTCGCCGTCCTCATTTCGTCCCGCGTAGGAAAACACGCGGTCCATAACACACCGCGAACTTTCTCCGCTCCTTCCCGCCGCGGTCACGTGATCACCGCTTCAACTTCCCCCGCGAACTCCACTACACGTCGTTCACAAGGCGCTTCTTTTCGCTTCCCCTGCAAACTTCACGTCGCTTCGCGAAGCACCCTTTCGCCCCTCCCCCCCTCCTACTTTTCTCTCTTTTACGACACTCAAAATCTAGAGCTCCCCCGCGATCGTCCGTCAATCATAATCGCGAATGATCATTGATGCGTTCCACGCGGCACATTATTTTACCGGATTCCGTAATGTAATCGATTCGAAGCACGTGCGCGTCGATCACGTCCCCCGCCGGTTCTGCGTCACTCCGCACGAACGATCGAGCGATCGAAACGACATGCGACGAGGGATCCGCACCTCGCCGGCGCTCCGATTATCGCGACACGCTTCATGTCGAAGTTATCGTCGTGAGCCTCCGCCGCGGTGTCAGTTCTGTAACTCCTGCAAGTTCTAATCCATACAAAGTGCTGTGTGAAAGGAGAGCAACACGATAATATAATATTGTAACATCGCTCGCGTATATACTGTTTATCAGCTGCACGTTCGAGCACGTCACTTTTCCGGATATTCGCTGTCAACGTTCCGAGAGAGAGAGAGAGAACAAGTAGTCTGTCGAAATGAACGACGCGACGGCGCGACGTGACACGAGAAACACAATCCGATTCGATACACACCGTGAAGAACGTCTAGTCTACTGTTACCCGGCGCACGACGGACCACCGACTGATCACATGAGCCGTTGCCGTGACTACGCTGTAAACATCGCCATAGCAGGCACGTCGCGGGCCGCCGGAGGGAGAGGGAGAAGTGGTGCCAACAGGCGTGCGGCCGCCCTTGAGTGGGGATAGATCTGAGAAACACGTACTGCATACACCACCGCTTTTTCAACCGTCACGCGCGACCGAGGGAAAATATACCGAAAAAAGTGTTTTTGATATGCGAAATATTTCGAGCATCGATAAACGCAAATACTGATTGAAATGTATATCACTCGTATATCATTCTTTTCAAAATCTTCTTTAAATATAGAAATAATATTTAAAAGCATATTTCAAAGACACTTGTGTGTTATCTTTAAATAATCTTTTTTCAGATACAAAATAATATAAATAGTATTATTTATATTATTTATTTCTGTATTTAAAAAAAAGATTATTTAAAAAGAATAATATAAGAGAGAGAGAGAGAGAGAAAGAGAGAGTGTCTTTAAGATATATATATATTTTTTAAATATTATTATATTATTATATATACCACTATGATAATTATATCAAATGCTTTTTAACGAAAAGGATGAGCGACGGTTAAATCCTGTTGGAGATCGCTCAGGGTCATGATCTTCACAACATATGTCAAGGTCAAGAGGGTTTCCTATTCGGTATAATTACCTCTTTTTTTTTTCAAATATAGAAATAATATTATTGAAAGACGAATCCTTGGCGATTCTGAAACGATATAATCAAGAATACTATAATTCCGCAGAACAAAAGTAATATTAACATTACATTAATGTTAGAATTTTTACTCAACAATTATAACGCTAATTTTATACATGCTATATACTACATAACATTTATATTATCGAATGGAAAATATGTTATCGTTAGTTTGTACGTGTTCTACAGGATATTGTTTATTTTATATTACTGCGAATTTAACAATAATAATAAAGCCAATTTTTTTATTATAAAATCCTGCAATCTGTATTATAGATAGGTATCTATTAGTTTCAAGAAATATAAAAAAAAATGAGAGTATAAAAATTGCAAAATGTGCAAGAAATAATACATTACAAGAAAATCGACAATTTTATAATTACTTCTATTTATGTATTACTTCTCTATTTTATGTATTAAAATCAGAAAAAAAGGTTATTCGTAATTAAATGCGATTTTTCTTGATTATAAAAAATTCGGTACAAACATATTTTCGTAACTAGCAATGTTAAAAAGCAAAGTTGTCCATTATATAAATTATAGGTATCCAATATGACATAAAAAATAGTAGATACTAGAATTATTATATATACTATCCAGAACATCATAGATTATACTAAAACTAAAGATTCACCAAATCATAAATTATGGATGTTTTCCGGACAATACAAATTTGCTAAAATTCTGAAAAAAAAAAAGGGAAAGTACTGCAAAAATAGCAGTAATAATGATCTCCCCAAAATGTGAAAAGAAAAATAAATTGTGCAAGAAATTTATCTAAAAAAAAAGTTTTGCATCAATGACGCATTTTTTCAATATAAAATTTCAGCCGAATATATTACTGGATCATTAGTATGATATCCGGCTATCCGACAAGATAGTAAAAAAGTACTGGATAACACCAAATTCCGGTTTTTTCTGGATATCTAATATAGTTATAAATTATTATAAGGAAACATATATGTGTTTAGTAATATAAAATATTAAATAATTCACCTTTTTAATAATCTTCTAATTAACATTGACATATCGATCCGTTGAAAATCGATATTGTAAAATAACAACAGATGATAAATCCTCGATCGAGAATAATTGAGTAATCTTAACGTGACTGATCGTCGGTAATATTGCGATGACGCTAAAACAAATAAGACAACACCAAAGAGAATTAAATAGACTTCTACATTGACTTCTATTATTACACTAGACTGCTAATTCCTGCTATCTCTTTATTAATCTCAAAATGAAAACAGCAGTTTAAAAAATTCAAAATTTTCGTTTTGAAAAATACTTCAAATATAGTGAATTATTACAATAAATAATGTAATTAACAAAAATATAAATTACAAAATAATACATACACATGTATTATAACTTTACATATCCGTATATACATACACATTCAATACGTTACGATAAACTTTTTCCTTACCTCTTATTTATTTATAAAAAAGACTTTTGATATTTTTTGAGTTGAAACAATTTTTGAAATCAACAATCGCGAAAAATACTGAAAATTCGAATTTTTAATATCGATTCGAAGAAAATTAATTAGCCAGGTTTATCAAAAGTCAGCGTTTATACAGTTAGCAAACGCCTTGCTAATATATTTTTAGATCTAGAGTCCTATATCTCTCTCGTTGGAAAAAATTTTCAACAATTATAAAATAAATATTTTGCAGAAGTCATTATGATTTGAAACTGAAGATAGGAATATTACAATTCTCAATATCTCGAAATCGTCGACGTAATGCAAATTGTTAATTTATTTTAAAATAGAAATCAAAATATTTTAGGTATTTTTGTTTCGTTAAGAAGTTTTATGTGGAAAATGTATTTTGCAATTTGCAGTAAATTGATTTTGGAATTTAGAAATACTCGGCATAATTAAGTGAAAAGGTTGCATAAGTATTTTTATTACAATACCTAATAATTAAAACAATATTTACATTTATACACGATTCGATATACATCATATACGAAAAATTACGTCATATCGGTCGTAAGTACTTGAATCAATGCCTACAATCTAAAATGTCTCGTCGTATTGCAGAAAATACTAGAATTGATTCAGAAAATTGTCAAATTAAAACATATCATATAATTTCAATTTTATAATAATTCTTTTTCTACCGATTGTCGATTTAAATAGATTTTAGATAACTATTTCAGAACTGTCCAAAACTAGACTTGCGAGTGTTCGCCCGCTCGTTTAAGAAACAATTCTGAAATTTAATGGCAAAAAAAATATACAATACATTGCCTTAATGTTTTAAATAAATAATAGGCGATATATCCTGTCACAATAGCTGCCACATCATTCGCCAGTCAAGGACATATGCTTCGCTTGTATCTAATTCAAGATGCTTTTTGACGTAATAAAACTATACTATTGTACAACTTAATGGCAGGTCCGAGTCGCAAACGCAGTACTGATACCAAATCCTCTTGAGTCAACATTAAGAATGACTCACCATCGATATTCTGCAGTAATAATTAACAATATATCCAATGCCGTTATTATTTAAACTAATTATTTATATTATTGCATTTTATTTGAAACTTACGTTCTGCCTGAAAATATTCCCAGCCTCTGCACAATTAGGCATGCTCTGTACAAATTTAATCACTTCTTCATTAGACCATCGTCGTGGATTCGTGGTTTGCCTCGATACTACTCTGTTTAAGGCATTGCTATGTTTCGCCCATATATGCGGTGCATTCGGCAAAGGATTATATCCAGGATTATATACAGATTGATATAATTCTTTACGCAATTGTTTGACTGGTATGTCTGCAGCATATTGGGTAGCGTTTGTAGCATTCGTAGCATTCGCAATATTTGTAGTATTCATAATATTTGTAATATTTGTAATATTTGCAGTATTCGCAGCATTCATAACATTTGCAGTATTCGCAGCATTCACAGCATTCCAAGTTTGCACATCACCATTTGTAACATTGGAAACGGAAAACAAAGATTCTTCCGAATTTTGATGTCTAAAAATGTATTGTATAATATATATTAAAAGAATACGGAATTTTAATATTATATGAATATGTAATATTTAGAAAAGTTCTTTATGATTTAAATAACAAACCTTCTCTTTCGTTTTCTCGAAACTTCATCATCATCCGTTTGTCCTTCGTTGTGTAAATTTTTAAACTTGGATCTGAAACAATAAAATTATGTAAATAAAAATAACAATAATGTCACAATTATGCTATATGTATGTATATATACACACATATACATATATATATAGTTATTTCACTACATTTAACATACTTGTCTGAATTTTCTGATCTATTTTCAGATTTATCATTTTCAGATCCATTTTCAGATTTATCATTTTCTGATTTATTTTCAGATTTATCATTTTCTGATCTATTTTCAGATGTATCATTTTCTGATCTATTTTCAGATTTGTCACTTTCCGATCTATTTTCAGATTTATCATTTTCTGATCTATCTTCAGATTTATCATTTTCTGATTCATTTTCAGATTTATCATTTTCTGATCTATTTTCAGATTTATCATTTTCTGATCTATTTTCAGATTTATCGTTTTCTGATATATTTTCAGATTTATCGTTTTCTGATCTATTTTCAGATTTATCATTTTCTGATCTATTTTCAGATTTATCGTTTTCCGATCCATTTTCAGATTTATCATTTTCTGATTTATTTTCAGATTTATCATTCTTTTCCGACGAATCGCCATCTTTCTGTTTTTCCTTCTCAATCATTAATATTCCATCATCTGAGGGTACAAGTTTATCAGACTTTTGAGATTTTTCTATTTTTTTGTCAGTCTTCTCTTTTGATTTTTCTTGTACCTCCTTTTCATTATTATCGACTTCGTGGAAGTCATTGTTTTTTAAATTATGTCTATCAGGCATTTGTCCTGATTTATTTAAATTTTGAAGAGAATACGGACAACCGGATGCTGAATTATGTGTTGCAAATTTAGGTCCTTTTACATGTCCTATACCTCGACAGCCATATGTGCCACATTCCGGTAGATCATTCAAATTATCGGGTGCTATTGATAAAAATGAATCAATGTACGGACAAATTAAAATAAAATATAATATACAAAAAATGTATAATGTAAAATAAGAACTTACTAAGTGGAGGTTCCAATGGATGACCCGTTTTTGCACACCAACCCACAGGATGAATATCAGGTGAATCATCGTCAACCCAGTAAGCATGATTATCAGGCCAGCCATCAAACTTAATCTTTAGTCTATATTTTTAAAAATACACAATTATTATCCAACTAAAAAGATAACAATACACACAGAAAGAAAATGAAATCAATACGAACTGATGGTCTTTTACATCCTCTACAGTTGCCACTCTGATTAATTGTGGTACTCGCTTATCCACTGTCTCCAATTTCATACCACGTCTAAACGCACATGGTGGTCGTTGCTTGAATGCTCTAGCCGGAGCAGCCACTGAGCCGGTTTCTTTCAGATATGTGTCCCAAGAGAAGGATTTAGCATCCTTATATTCTAATCACAAATATTACAATATACATGGAAGAATAAATAAATTATATACTAATTTCAAATTTCTTACGATTTGGTGGCACCAAGACGCGTCCATTATGATGAGACCATCCAACAGGGTGAATATATGGTGAACTTGCATCAGCCCAGTAATCATACACCTCATCCCAAGAATCAAAATGGACTAATATTCGAGAATCCATTAAACCTGCTATGCTAGCGACACAAAGTAATGAAGAATGTTTTCTATCCACTGCCTCCAACTTCATGCCCACTCGAAAGCCCGTGGGAAAGACAGTTTGCAAGGCACCTTTATTCGGAAATAGATTCTTCGCTGCCACAGGCGCTTTACAGATTTTTAGATATGCATTCCAATTAAAATTTCCAGATGTGTAACCCTTTGGTGGATCCAATTTCTTGCCATTTTTTTCAGACCATCCAGCAGGAAATATATTCATACTATCTGCATTTATCCAGAAATCATAATTTTCTGGATAACCGTCAAAATGAACACGCATTCGATAACCTAAATACACACATTTTATAAATTTTATATAATAATATTATAGTAAATATGCTATTTCTCTCTCTCTAACTGCTGACTTACCTACAACCTCGGCAATGGTTAGAACACAATATCGAGAAGGGTGTTCCGGATCTATACCTTCCAATTTCATTCCAACTCTAAAATGATTTTTACTATAGGGAAACGGATCCTTGAATAACTTCACAGGCGCCGCTTTTGCTTTACAATGTTCAAGATACTTTGGCCATGAAAAACCTAATTTTCCTGTTTGCCAAGGATACTGTACATAAAATAAAGATAAAAAATTAATGTATTTTAATTTTTAATGCATTTAATTTAATTAAATTGAATAATTGTTATATTTGATTAACCTTTGATTCTGATAAATCTGCTTGGATCTCATCATCTACACCTGCCAATACTTCTTTTTCCTCGTCTAACTCCTTCGTCTTATCTTGTGTCTTCTCATCAGACTTTTCATCTATTTCCTTTGACCCTTGTAATAACTGTGACTCTTGTAATAATTTTTTGCGTTTCTTTTTTATGCGTATTTCTCTGTAAAAAAAAAACATTAATATAAATAAATTTTATCATATCATTTAATTATTATATGTTAGAATGTATTAAATAATACATAAGTAATGCATAAATAATACACACTTTGGATTGTCCTTTCGATTTGTAGGCTGCTTTTTAGCCTCGATCACTTCTGTACAGGAAGGACTACATGATATTGGACTTTCAAATTCAGCAGCTAATCCATAACATCCACAAGCTTCGCAATGATATACAGTATCTGCATTTACCGATCTAGATTTCCTTTCATCAGCTAAATTAAATATATTTCATTATAGTGATATATAAACATTTATATCTAATATGTCCATCATGATTATTTGAAACTTACTTTTTTTTTCTATATTAGTATTATTAACGATTCCTGAACTAGTTTTCGAAGAATTTTGTGTTAAACACACATTCTCTTTATCACCAATACCATCTTTATTTTGTTTACTATTTTCATCTTCATCTACTACTTCTATAATGCCGAACTCATTCATACGAAACTGAAAAAAAATGTATTGAAAACATAAACGATTGTTCGGTGATATATATATCTATAAATACTTTAATAATAAAATTGTTACTACTGTTTATAATTTTAGATATACAAATTTAGAGGTTTACTTTTTAGTATCATATATATATATAATAACTTTTTTACCTGTAAATTACTTCCAGGTAAAGTACCAACACCATCTTTCCAGTCTAAAACTTTAGACGCATCAAAATTCATAATGTTCTGATTTGTATTGTTCTGATTCGATTGTTCTTTCGTATCATCACAATTGTTACCTTTTGCTTCACTCTTATTGTCTGGCGTTACTTCAGCATTGCAGCTCGCAGGAGCTTTAATTATTTCTATTCTTATATCATCATCCATATTTGTATTTAGTTTTGAAACTTTATCCTCACTAGGAACAACTTTAATCAATGTAATATCATCATCATTTTGAGTCTTTTTATCTTTGTCTTGTTCAGACTCTGGGCTGCTCAATGCATAATTAGCATCAGCTAAATTGTCTTGTGGAGATTTTGGAATATGTTGCTTCTTCATCCGTTTTTCAGAAGAACCTCGTAATATATTGCTAATTGTCTTTTTCCGTTTTTCCGGTTGATTATCTTCCTTTTTTGGAATTGGCGTGATAACAGCTGAATCCGGGTTTTCAGTGATTTTTATACTATCTATAGAATTAGAATTGCTTTTGTTTGCACTTAAAAGGCTCATTTTCGCTATTGGATGCAGTGGTGGAGGATGTGTCGTTGAATTTGTCGTTTTTGATTCACGTAACACTAAATAAAGTAATAAAAATACGTTATATTTTACTTTAAAATACTACATATGTAAATTAGTAATTACGCTAATTAGAGATTTATTTCTATACCTGTTATGGTACCTTTGCTTTCTGTACTGAGTTGACCATTATTAATTTTTAAATTGAACATGCTAGGTTTTGTAGTGCCACTTTGCTGGGAAATGTTCACTGGCAATATTAAATTCGCCATATGTTTAGGAGCCTGACTCTGAGAGCCACTTGTGGTACTTGTTGATGTTTGAGCTAATTGCGATATTACTGGAGTAATTACTAATTTGGGTTTTGTTATTTGAGCTGGTGTTAAAGTCCCTATTAGAAAGTCAAATAAGTAAATGTACAGATACTTATTATTTGATACATTAAGTTAGGTTTTTAATAGCTTTTGTGTACATAAGTTAATAAATTGTAAAACAATTATATTCAAAAATTTATAAACCACAAAAAATTCTTACCTGCAGGTATAACAACAGATTCTCGTGATTTATTAGGTTTAATAAGAGTTCCTAAATATGCAAACGTATGCTTTCCAACTTGCGCATTGGTTTGATTTCCTTGCGTCGTATTTAAAGGTAATATCTGAGCAGTAGATGTTGACTTTCTAAGTAAAATGTGCTTTTGAGCTTGTGAAGTAGCTGTTGTGCTCACAGTATTTATCGGACGATGAATCACAATGTGTTGTTTACTTTGAGATGTAGCTACCTGACTTGGCCCTTGTATAAATACCTTATTTTGTCCTACAATCTAGAATAAAAGTAAAATATCTTATTTTGTCTAATCATAATATAGGATAAAAGTTAAATAGACTTGCTGTCTAAAATTGACTTGGTTAAAAGTTACAATTTTCTCTAGAAATCAACATCGAAATAATTCAAATATGAGATTTTTGCATAAATCCATACCAATTACAAATAAAACTAAACTAATTAATATTCACTTTTAATTTGTCAATAAACTTGGCAGGATAAAATAAAAAAATAATACTAAATTTAACAGTTATAAATATTAAAAAATATATTTTTGAACAAAAAAATTAATTTTATGCACATCTTTTCACATTTTGAGTCACACCGTATGCAATGTTTGTTGACCAAATCTACATTTACTATAAGGAGCTACACCATTCACTGCTACCACCTGTATATCTCATAAAACTATAAGATCTATATACATATGTATGTGTGTGTGCACATGCGTGTGTTGTGTACTGAATGCAAACTGTATTTAGTACTGTTATATTTTGCTTCAACAGCAAACACATACATATTCTTTTTATTACTGCTTGCAATCATACTTACATATTCATATTTTATATTTTGAAAATATAATATTTATATATAAGGCCAGAGTTGGAAAGCGTTTACTTTTTCTGTTACTTTTTATAACAAACAATTTGATGGCGTTGCAATTTTTTTTACTAAACGCTAAGGTTGTATTAAGGTTGGAAAAAAGTTGACTTTTTCAATTATAATTATAAAGTACAAAATATGAGTACAGCAAGTGTAGGTTAAAGATGTATATTTAATTTTAGGTTATCATGAATATAATTTGAATGTGTATATGTATGTACCTATGGGTGTTATACGTTCATCCATTATAATAAAGTATTTATATAAGGAACAGATTGAAAAAATTAATATATATATAAATACAATTTCTAGAAATTCTCAACTTTGCCACAATAAAGTAAAAAGCCAGAGTTACACAAGATATTAACCATTACACACAATGTACATCATGCTTTCAGTAATTACCTGATTATTAACTGGATTAATAATGGCAGCGAGTTGTGTGTTAGGTGAAACAATAGTTTGATTTATATTTGACGATGGGGTAGAACGTACTTTATTTTGCTGGATATATAACAGTGGCATTACAGACGTGGTTGGATCATCCACCTGCTGCGTATCCGTAGCACTATTCTCATCTATATCGTCTACTACTATTTCCTCTTCCATTCTGTTAACAGACGGATCAAAGTTGGGTTGTTTCATTGTTTCACGCTTTAACATTAAAATATTTCATACATCAAAATGATACTTGACAAAATGCTAATTATCACAACTTAATAATATAAAATTTTTTCTATCTAAAAGTGAAAAATACAAAGCTTGAAAATGTATTTAAAATTATTTGATACGTGTAATCTTTTTGCATAATTAAACAATTACATTTACACAAATTGTTTCATCTGATCAATTTGAAACCAAGTTCCGTGAAAACGTGAAATAAATCACAACTTAACGTTCCATCATCATTCGATCTCGATAAAGTGCCAAACAAAGTCTAATACACGGCGCATTTTTTTTTTTTTTTTTTTTTTTTTTATTTTTTTTTTTTTTTTGTCTAAAGGCCCAACACTAAAGTAACTTTACGAACCTAACGGACATAGCGTTTATCATCGGCATATCGTGTCGTTACTAATTATATAATTCGCGAGGAATCGAAATTTCTTGTTAGCGAAAAAATGCAAACGCTCGACAAGGTGTGACGTTTATTTTATCATGAGAATTCATGCATCGGGGACGCTCGGACGCATTTTCGTCGAGATATGGTAGCACACAATTTTAAATGGCGCGCCGAACCCGTCGTATCCGTAGCACACAGCAGTCAAGTTTCAACATCACTTTTCACGCTTTGAAATTCACCGTGGGCGTAAACGACGAAGGCGGTTTCGTGCGAAAGCACCCATGCTGCCGCGCGATCGGTGGATAGAGATCGTGGGTATCCTATTCAAACTTGGCGATTCGTGTACCGCCCGTCGCGCATCATTCGGAGTGATTCGGAGTCGCTCATCAATGAAGGGGGCAACCCGCGTTATGCACGGCACTTTTCATAACGGACGCGCCAGGCCGGAGCCCACGGCGGCAATCGTCGTCGTTCGCGCGTGCCGTCACTCCTCACGCAGCGTTTTCCCGCGCTTGCAAACTACAAACAATTTCCACCATGCCGTGCATGCACTCTTTTAGCAAAAACTTCAGCACATCTTTCGGGCCCCTTAAATCCTGTATGCCACGGCCTACGTCCCCATAGGCCGGACGCGCAGTGGCGACGGCGCGACATGTCGTCTCCTATTGGCAGTCAGTACACGGCATTGCACAGTGCGCGGGTGCAACAATTGGGTGCAACTAGGTGCAGCTGCGCCAACCAATCGCACCGCACTAGCGCCACTAACGTTCTTTCCTCGTCGTTTTTCCGATAACATTTTTTGTTTTTTTTTTTTTTCGAATTGATCAAAACCGCCCGTCTCTCCACGAATCGTACCACGATCGCGTGGATCGACATGTCGATGATAATTACACTCCTTGTTCGTTATCGGAAAAGCAATGAGCGTCTCTCTTAACAGACAGAAAGAAAGATTTAGAAAATTACGGATTTTTACTCTCGACAAAATTAGCTTAAACTGTAGTGTACGTCATAGTTTTTCTGTTTTTGTATATATAATTCAATAATAAAAAGGCAAAACTGTCTCTTTCATGGGCAAAACTGTCAAAAACGGTTAGATTTTGCTGCAACATTATTTGAAAATCGTATATTTTCAGGTCTAATCGAACTGAAAAGTATCTTTATCTAGCTGTAGTAGTGAATAATGGAAGGAGTGGTCCGTCCAGGCGCCATCTTAGCAAAGATTCCAATTCAGCAATATACATAGATATATTTCCTTGTTACAAATAAAAATATGGAAGATTCATTTATAAGGAATACAAAAGACTATAGGATAGACCGAGGCGAATCGAATCAATATAAATTTTAAGACAGTTAGAGGCTTCGCATAAGTAAAGGAATAGAGGAACAGGGAATAAGAATTCTCATCCTGTCAGAAATTGCTGTATTCCGTAGTACCTACATAATTTCTGACAGGTTAAAATTCTTATTCTCCTATTCTTTTAATTATATGAAGCTCCTTAGTCGATATTTGTCGTTAATTGTTTTCACTTTTTTGTTTCAAAAATAGCTCGTTTGAAACAAAAAAATATAATGAAATGATGACAAATACCAAGTGTAATCCAATTTGTTATGTGATCTGATTCGCCTCGATTTACTCTAAATTATCAGACAAAAAACAAGAAAGGAGCATTAAAGATGTACAGATCACATCTCGAAACATTGCCAAAAATATAAAAATTTTATAAATTATTCCATTATTACGTCTGCATAAAAGGAGGATACCCCGGATCTACAATAGAGTTTTAAGCTTCAAGCCATAAGAAATGAACGAATCATAATCGCATTCTCCTCGAATTCGACTGTAATTAGTTAATTTCTTACGGCTTAAGGCTTAAAACACCTATTCTAGATCGTAAACATTTTTGGGGATTTCGCTATTACTCGGTAATCGTTTTATTTTTTCGTTTCTTCTTATGTATTTTTTTTCGCAGAAACACCGAAATTATATAGGTAAGTATATAACTATATAAAAAGAAAACTTTTAATCAGTGAATAAAAATTAAACGTACTACAGTTTAAACCGAAGGCCAAAAAAAACCCATGGTTTTGTGTGTCTTTTGTTTACACATACGCTTTTCCCGCGTAAACGCTTTATAAAAAAAAAAAAAGCTATCACCTCTCGCGCGCGTTACCACATTTTACAAACGTCATGACAATCATATGTATACATTCATATACATAAAGGCGCGTACGCATAAATCGAGACTTCCATCCGTAAAGCGAAGCTTCAGTCGGTATCTCTTTATATAGCTGTCGCAGCTATATCGATGCGAGTTAAAGTGGGAAAGGTCCTAACTGTGATTACATCCCGTGGATGCTTAATCTATATAAATATATATACATACACATAGATGTGTAATATATATGTATATATAAATATATATATATATATATATATGCGTGCGTGCAATGCATTAGTGGTTACACCGTGGTTACACAGCCGACAATTTTCAAACGTCAGCTGGTAGAGGCGATCGATTCGCACGCGATCGATTGAAGATGCATGAACTTATAGCGTCTCGATCGCGGGGACTGAAACTGATATATAATCTGCATGTCAATTGAATTGTGTCTTGAACGGACTCTCATCGCGGCACGTAATATACATAAATACGATTCTCTATATATTACCTTCTCTTCCGCACTCTCTTGCAAACTCGTAATGAAACGAACACATATATCTTCTCGCATCCTTAAGCGAGAAAGAATTGGTAGGGACGGTCCATCTCCGAAACGTTCGCGTTTCCATAAACTTCCACGGAAACGATTATCGTTATTCACCCTGTCGTCAAACTCAAAGAGAGAACCGAACGAGTCGCTCAAGATTGGCCTAAACACTCCAGCAGCATATTCGATAATGCATTCGTGCGAACAGCACTCGGGGTGTACATTGAGTGCAACTTGAGAAAGAACAGATCTCGAGCGCGTATAATTATTACAGAATGCTGGTATGTGGTATCTTTTATTTTAAGTATGCAATTATAGTCGACTTTCCTGTGTGCGCACTTTATATGCAAATTCATGCAAATTCATCTAGATAAGCTTTCGAACGATGAGAGAACGCAAAACGGTATACTTTACCGTATATCCAGAGCACCGCCGAATTCACCAAAATTGCTACGATAACTCGCTGCTAGTTCTTTGTAACTAAACTTCTTTTGTTTCTCTCTTTTTCTCTCTCTCTCCCTTTCTTCTTCTCCCTCTCTGTCTCTCTCCCTCCCCTCCCCCCTCTCTCTCTCTCTCTCCCTTTCCTTCTCACTCTTCCCTCCCTTCCAACGAAAGCGCGAGTCTCTTGTATACTGTACTTATTAACTGCACGCGATCGATACTTTTATTTAAGATCATTCATAAATAACATATTAGTGACAATTTGAGGCAACTTTATACGTTTTCGACGATTAAATTAAAAAAAAAAGAAAATAGTTACATAAATTTCGCTTTCGAATCCACTCGCTTACCATCGGCCACGTAAATACGATCGATAACTCGTTGAATATACTCCGTTTGTAATTTCGGCGTGAACCGAAGTGCGATTTAACCACGTTTAGTGCGTACGACAGAAATTTAATCTTCGAAGAAACTGAGCTATAATATTAAGTTAACCAATAAAGATATATAGTTTTAGATTTCTTTTTAAGCTAAGATCGCTACACACTGATTATTTACATCACCTAGATACGCGTTCCACACGTTCGGACAAGCGAAATGGAAACAGAGGGCGTCGAAGGAGCAGAAGTGCAGAAAGTCTGTTCTCTTTCGAAGGATCTTCTGGGGGTCGCATGCATAGGCTGCGTTCCATTGCATGCATAAGGTATTATTTTACCCTCGTTGATTGCAGAGTGTTAAACAAGCATAAATGATACATAATGCCCCGTTCAACGGGAAAGCCCTAGTCGATTCTTATATCCAGGACCGTCTTAAGACGTCACGAACCAATCAAAAGGCCGTAGATTTGTTCACGATGCTTGAAATCCACAGAAATTGTTCAACTTAAAAATAAGATAGATGTATATATTTACGCGTTGAGAGAAAAGAGAGAAAGCGAAGGTGCGCTGAGTACAAAGGTTGCAAGCAACGAGAACAAACCTCGTGTGTTAGCATCTTAAAGTTTTTTTTGTACATAAAAAAACTTAAGACGTAACGTAAGACACGGCTAGATTGAATCACAAAGTGTGCTAATTGTATTCATTTTTAACATTGGTAACATTGCTTAACACTCTCCGATTGGCTTAGAGCCCAAACACACACTTTTGCATAACGCATAAACCATATAATAAAGAATTTGATTGGTTCATTGACTCATGCATAAGAAAATGGGCCAATGAAATTCCATATGCACATGCTTTATGCGTTATGCAAAAGTGTGTGTTTCTCGCCTTAGCATGAGCGTAAAGGTGCCTTTTCATACCAATGCTCGATGCTTATTAAGATAGTATTCGTAGTCCGTTTTTATTTTAAGACAATCTTAAATAATGTCTTAAAATGCTAATACGACTCTTTGATTAGTTCATGATCCTTATTAAGACTGAACTTGACGTTTCTTAAATACAAGATTCAAATACCGTCTCATAAATATGAAAAGTTCGCTGACTGTTAAAATGGAATTATATCATTTTTTTTTTACATAATAAGATTCTTCTGA